AAAAATAAAAACATCTCAATGCCAAGTGTGAGCAAGTTGGAAAACGAGAATCTTTATGTGCTGCTGGCACACTCACACTTTGGAAGGCAATTTGGCAATATCTTGTAAAGCTGAAAATGCACACACCTTACAATTTGCCTATTGCACTACTGCACATATAGGCTCTCCTAATACAGCTCTACATCCCATGGACTACCTATCATTTTGCTACTAATGTGCAAGGTGACAACCTTTCCTAAAGAAATACTCACATATGTGCATAGGTTATATGTATAAGGATGTTCTTTGCAACATTCTTTATAATAGTGGAAAATATTAAAACTATCTAAATGTCCATTAGTGGGGTTATGGATGAATAAGATGGGGGTGTATTTTAATAACAAAGTACTAGAGTGATAAATAATTCAGATTTATATCAATAAAGAAATATCCCCAAAACCTATTATTGAGTGAATCGAAGAAAATTGTAAGATGATAAATATTCTTAAAAATTACAATTTGTGTTAATTATAAGCACACAAAAGTATATTCTATATGTTTATGGGTATATAGGTATTAAAATTTCAAAAATATAGACTGACAAGCGGCACGCAAAATTCACGATCGTGGTTGCCTCTGGGGAGAGAGTGAAGGGAGAGGAGAGAGAAAAGCGAACTTCAACTACTTCAAGTTTATTTGGAATGCTTTGTTTTATTTAAACAACGCAGTTGAAGTAAATAGGTCAAAGTATTCTTATCTGGATTGTTTTTTTTTTTTTCCAAATAAAAAATGTCCACATGCTATAGTAATGAAAGAAAATCAGTACTATGATAGAGGAAATGTAGGATGCTTTGGAAATGCCTAACAGTGGGGTCTAACCAACTCTAGTTGGGGTCAGCAAAGACTTCCAAGAGGAAATGGGAGTTACCCTGGCACAGGGGATGGGAAGAGCATTCCAGGCAGAGGGAATAGCATGTGCATCAGAAGTAAGAGAGTGTGAAGCGTGTTTGAGGAAGTGAATGCAGATCACTGACCAGGAAAGGGTGGAGAAGAGAGGAGAGATCAGGCTGCCAAATCTGTATGTTTTTGTTTGTTTTGGTTTTTTTTTTACAAATATGGAAACAGAGCCCTAGTGAAGGGAATAGAACTCAGGCCTCCTAACTCCCTGTCAATTGCTCCATAATAATAATAATGATGTGCCAGTCTCTCTACAAGGTACTTTAAATATGTCCTTTCGTTTAATCTCATTACAGACCTAATAGTGATTTTTTTCCTCCCCACTTTACAGATGATGAAACCAAGGCCTATGGAAATTAAAAAATTTGTTCAAGGTCACAATGGCAGAAGCCAGATCCCACAAGGCCTTGTGTGCCATGCTAAGTAAGCTAGACTTTTTCCTAAGGACATTAGTAAGTGTATTAGGTTCCTATTGCTGCTGTCATTGCCACAAACGGAGTGACTTCAAGCAATACAAATATTAGCTTACAGTTCTTGAGGTCAGAAATCTAAAGTGGGTCTCACTAGGTTAAAATTAGGATGTCAGCAGGGCTAGTTCCTCTGGAGGCTCTAAGAGAATCTGTTTCCTTGCTTTCTCACCTGCATTCCTTGGCTCACGGCCCCCTTCCATCTTCAAAGCCAGCAATTGTGCCACTCTGACCTCTGCTTCTGTCATCACATTCTCTCTGTCTTTATTCTTCTGACTCCCTCTTTCATTTATAAGCGCTCTTGTAATTACATTGGGCCTGCCCCCAACATCCAGGATAATCTTTCCATTTCATGGTCAGCTGATTAGCAACTTTAATTCCAACCCTAGTTCCCCCTTCCCATTTAACATAACATATTCACAATTTCCAGGAATTAGAGCATGGGCATCTTTGGGGGAACCATTATTTTGCCTACAACAATGAACCGCTAAAGGATTTTAAGCAAGGAAATGACAAGGTGAGACCTGCATTTTAGTATCTTTTTATTATTTGTTTTATGAAACAATTCACTTCATGACTTATTTAAGGCAAACTGGCTTTGCAACAACTAACACTTTCAAAGGCTGAACACTTCATAGATATTAAATGTGTTAAATCTAATAACTATATCTGCTGTTTTTTCCAGGTCTTTTAATCTGATAGAGTTCTTTCATTACCTGTGATTTCATTATTTTGCCAACAATCAAGTAGTAGTTCAAAGGGCTGTTATAATTCCCCCTTTAAGGATAAGGAAAAAGACCCAGGGGCATTTGGTCACTTGCCCACGTTCACAGAGCTGCTAAGGACAGGGCCATGATGAGGGACTAGTCTTTAGGCCCATTAATCAGCATTTCTTTATGTCATCCATTGGGTGGGACATTCTGGGAAATGCAAGTCAGACATCAGCCCATCTTTGGTGCAATTTTTCATCTATAACCTGGTGCCCAATAAACATTTGTTGAATGTATGAATAACCCTGCTTTCACTTCTGTGGCACAGACAGTGATTTTCAAGGCAGGAAAACCAGGAATTGTGCTAGAACTCATTTCTTTCCCCCCATATCCAATCAATCTGCAAATCCTGTCAGCTGCACTGCAAAAATATGAATACGTGCTGAGTTTGTCCCCTTCTTTCCAGCTTCTCAGCTCCCACTTTGTACCAGGGCTCATTTCCTGTCTGAGCTGCCACAGTAACCTAACTGGCCTCCCTGCTTTTCCTCACTAATCAACACTCCATCTAGGGGCCAAAGTGATGGACTTAAGATGTACATCAGATAACAACATGGCTTTCCCAGTTAAATTTTCCCACTGACTTTGCATCATGCAGAAGAGAAAACACTAAACCTCCAATCATGGCCATACATGGTCCTGCACCCTCAGTCTCCACTCTCCTCTTCGGTCTCACTCTTACCACCTCCCTATGGCTCCCTCCCCTCCAGTCCCACTGACTCTTCCCAAAGGCCAAGCTTTTCCATCACAGAGCCTTTGCCCACGTCGTCCTTTCTGCTAAAAACCTCTCCACTCTTTAAATAGCTCAGTCCTTCCATATCAGGTCTCGGCTTAAATGTCACTTATTTAGAGAGATTCTACCTGTCTCACATTTGTTTCCTTCACGAAAAATTATGACCATTTGTAAATGCTTTATTTGTCTACTTGCTTATTTGCCTTTCTTCCTAGACCTGAGATGACCGATATGTAGTTACTAGCCAGATATAGCTATGAAGCATTTGACATGTGGCTAGTCTTAATTGAGATGTTCTTTAATGTAAAATACACACTGAATTTTAAAGACTTAATATAATAAAAAGGATGTAAAATATGTCATTAATAATTTTAAAATATTTACTACATGTTGAAATAATATTTTTAATATACCAGATTAAATAACACATTATTAACAACCTGTTTCTACATTTTGAATGTGGCTACTAGAAAATTTTAAATTACACATGTGGCTTACATTATATTTCTATTGTACAGTGCTGGTCTAGACTCTTAGACAATGAAGGTAGGAACCATCTCTGCTTTATCCACCTCCATGTCTCCAGAACCTACCATGTAGTAGGTGCTCAGTATTTGTCGAATAATTTGGTTTTCATGAAAACACTGGGCACAGACAGAGCCAAGACAGGCAGCCTCATGTACACTGTGAATTCGAGGAATTAAGAAACTCAAAAGAGTTTTATTTTTCTCTAGTCGCTGCGTTTCACATGTGTTCTGTCAACCCTCTGACCGGCTCTGTACTGGCATTCCTCCCACAGTCACCTACTACTGTCAATGGGAGGCCAGGGGAGTGATGGCTGGATGATCAAAGCTGGTTCAGCTGCTTCTATTTCAGTCCCATCAGAGATATCTTGTCTCAATTATTTTGGTCCTAGTAGCAGAAAGGACTCACCTCAACACACTGGATATACAGACAGAGTAGGTGTGACTCCAAGGGCCACCCACCAGGTCAGAGGTGAAAAGGACCTGGAAACTTGGTCTACAGACTGACCTTCCAGGACTCTTGCTCCAACTACATCCCGTTGTAGTCTCCTTTACTCTAAGGGGCTCAGGCCACTGCAACTCTCTCCTCTCCTCACATTTACCTCTGACTTCTTGAGGGCCCTGAAGGCAGGTATGCCTGGTCCCAGCAGAGTTGACCCAAATGGCACCATCCACATAGAAGCCAAAGTGGATGAGAGGAGGGGACGAAAGAATGGTTTGATGGATGGATGGATGGATGGACAGACGGTTGGACAGACGGACCAGTATGGATGGATGGATGGATGGATGGTTGGATGGACAGACGGTTGGACAGACGGACCAGTGAATGGATGGCCTGGAGGATGGGAAGACGGATGGTTATGAGTTGGAGAAGAGGATGGTTGGTTAGTAGGATGCCCATGGGGAGCAGGGCAGGAGAGGGGATTACAAAAAGAAGAAATTACCCACTTTACTTGACTCAAACGAAATCTGAATATCAGAGGACCCATAGCGGACAAAGTCCAGCCCCCATTACATTTCTGCTAGAAAACCAAGGCGGAACGAGTTGGGGGCCTTGCCCCAGCACCCTCAGGAAAGTCCAAGCAGAGTCGGAACTAGGATCTGAGTCTCTAAGCCCCCGACCCCGCCGGCGCCTGACAGTGCCAGTGTGGGGGGAGCGCCCCCGCCCCCACCTCCGGAGGTAGCGGCCCCACGCGGCCCCAACAAGCTGCCGTTGTCCCGCGGGCCCTGGGCCTGGCACACTGGGGCTTTGTCCAGCCCCCGGCCGCGACCCACGGGAGGGGCCCCCACATGACCGAGGGGGTAGGAGGAGCCTGCGGCAGCGGTGGTGAAGGCTGCAGCGGCGGCGGCGGCGGCTCCACCATCATTACCCTCCTTGGCTGGGCATCAGCGGGTAGTGGCGGCGGCGGCGGCGGCGGCGGCCGCTGGGCAGGGCTGGGCGGGGCCGCGGACGCCAAGCCCCCTGTTCCCTGCCGGGCTGCAGGCGCCGGGCCTGGGCCATCAGGGCAGCTGTGACCCGAGCGCTCTCCTGGCGGCGAGCTGGGGGTGCACCTGGACCCCAGCCCCAGGGATCATGGGGAATGGCATGACCAAGGTAGGGTGGGGGCGAATCGCGCAGCCCGCACCTGCCGGTCCCCAGTCCCGGCCGCGGCCCCCAGTCTCTGACCTTCTGGCTCTCTCTGAATCTGTCTCTATATCTGTTTCCCTGTGACTCTCAGATTGTATCTCTCTGTGTGTCTCTCTGGAGCGGTATCTCTCTCTGATTCCATATCTCTGTGTCTCTGTTCATGTCTCCCTCTCTCTCAGGTCTCTGTCTCCCTGAGTCTGTCTCTACCTCTTTCTGTGACTCTGTATTTCTTGCTATCTTTTTGTGGTTTCCTGTAACTCCCAGACTCTGTCTTTCTCTGAGTCCCTTTCTCTGTCTCTGTGTGTCTGCCTCCCTTGTCTCTGACACCTTGGACTCTCTGGAGCTGCTTCTTCATCCTTCTCCTCCTCTACCTCTGCATGATCCTGTCCCTGCTTTCCCACTCCCTCCTCCACAGAGCTCTCCACTTCCCACCCTGGCAAGTCTACCTCTTCCCTTGCCCCCTCCTCTGTGCTCTTAACATCTCCCCCCCGCCCACCCCCAACCCATCCCCCTCTTTGTATCCCTTCCTCCTCTTTCCTCTCACCCCTGCTGAAGCCAGCCTCCCTTGGTGCTACCTCCTGCCCTCCCCAGCCCTCTCACACAGAGTCCAGGCTCCTGAGAGGGTAGAGAGTGCTCCTCGAGTCCTGAGGTCCAGACACCCTCTGTGGACAGAGAAGTGCTATGGGCCCCAGCTGTTGGGGTGGGAAGGGCATGCTCCCCTACCCACCTTCCCCAACCCTGCCTGTCTCTCCCATAGGTACTTCCTGGACTCTACCTCGGAAACTTCATTGGTGAGCACTGCCCACTCTGTCCCAAGGCCATGGCACTCTGCCTGTCAGAGGCCTGTGTCCACAATTCATGCTCTGACCCACGCACCGTAGAGGAGCCCAAGCTTCGGGTTGGGGGCAGGGAAGAGATGCCAGGCTGGGGGCGTGGGGGTAGAGCTCACAAGGACTAAAGGGCATATGGGTGGATAGTGTTCCCAGTGCAAAGGGCTCAGAACGCTGGATGCTGGGCAAGTCTGCACCTGCTCTGAGCCTCAGCCTCTCCCTCAGCACAAGGCCCACCACCTCTAAGGGCTCTTCTAGCTCTGAGGTTCTGGGTTGAGGTCTGTTTGGAGGTGTTGCTTCTAGCTGGGAAGCTGGGGACCCTTCCTCCCACAATCTCCTCCTCAAAGGAGAAGTTCTGGAGATTGGACTCTACCTCGGAAACTTCATTGGTGAGCACTACCCACACTGTCCCAAGGCAATGGCACTCTGCCTGTCTCAGACCATAAGACAAGCCGGTCTGGGGCTTGGGGGACCCAAGGTAGGAGGAGTTACTTCTATCTGTGGAGCCAGAGAGGAAGGGACATCTGAACTGGGGCAGGGCCTTCTCTATCCACCCTGTCTCCCACTGGCTTAGGTGCTTCACTTTCATAAACCCTTATCCCTTCCTCCCTGGAGCTACCTCAGCAGCTCACTCCACATTGATTTCAGAGTATTTGGTCAGGTAAGGTCTGAATCCCCATGAAGGCAGAGGCCATGGAGTTGACCACCTACCTCCATGCACAGCCAAGGCTTACATAGTAAGCACTCAATAAATGTGTTGAATAAAGACGTGGACATATGGAGGAAAAGGGGATATGTGTTATTTACTCTGATTATAATAGGTTTTTATACACTGGAAATCCAGCCCCTAGAGATGACCACTGATAGCAGTGTACGACATACCCCTGGGTCATTTTTCATATCTCTTTGTAGGTATAGATATAACAGTTAAAACAAAAATGTAAACCTATTCTGCATGCTGTTCTGTAACCCGTGTTTCCCCCTTAATAATATACTGTGGACATCCTTGCACATCGGCCCATAGGAATCTTTTTAGTGGCTGCATAGTATTCAAGTATGAATATACCATTTTTTATCCAGCTCCCTTTTGATGGACATTCAGCCTGTATCCATTTTTAACTGTTTCTGATGTGTTTACTGTTATAAGCAGCTCTGCAGAGACTATTGCCCTCTATGCTTGGCCTTTGTGTAAGCGAACCCTTGTCTAGACACTATTCCTAGAAGTAGAATTGCTGGGTCAAGGATATGCCAGGGAAGGGTGTTTGAGATGGAAAGAACAGCATGGACAAGGTGGAGGAGATGCTGAGCAGTTACTTGCAGGTGCCCCAGAGACAAAACTGTGGCCTAGGGGTGTGGCAGGACCTGTCATGCTGGGAACAGGAGGTGGTGGAGGAGTGGGAGCTGGTGGAGGGTCAGCCAAGGTGGAGAGGGTGGGTTGAGGAAGAGAGCTGGGCAGGGAGCCCCTGCCTTACTTGGGCCATCAAGTACATATGAGTCACACCTGCCAGACTGGCTCAAGCTTCTTGTTTCTTTCAGATGCCAAAGACCCGGATCAGCTGGGCCGGAATAAGATCACACACATCATCTCCATTCATGAGTCACCCCAGCCTCTGCTGCAGGTACTACTTACTCCTATCCCAGGGCTGCAAAAAGATGAGGAGGGGGCTTCAGACCCCCCACAGCACCCATTTATCACGTAACCACCTATGTGCCAGGTCCTGTACTGACTTCCTGGCTTACGCTAACTCATTTGGTTAAAAGCTGGCCTGTATTACATTAGCTTCTCTATTTGATCTTTATTTGGTAACTGAGGCCCTGAGAGGTCATTTGCCTAAACTTACACGTCCAGGGAGCTGAGGAGCTGAAATTTGAACACAGGCCATCTGGCCCCAGACACCTCACAGCGAACTATAAGAAGGCCCCGCCTGGGCTTCCCATTGTCTAACTGAATAGATGACTCCAAATAGATGATTCTGGGCTCTATGTCTTGCTGTGTGACCTAGGGCTGTGACTTCACCTGTCTGGGCCTTTGATCCCTCAGTCCTATCTGCCACCAGGGAGCTGTTGTGAGGAGGCAAAGGGGCTGTGGGATGGGGAAGATGCCTTGCACACTGTAAAGCATGGCCCCCACTGGAATTGTTGGTGCTGGTACTATCGAGTCCTGGAAAAGAGCCAGTGTGGATATTATGACCCAGAGGAGGAAAAGAGGCAAGCAGGAAATCCAGACCACGTGTGCTAAAGTCAGGAGGCCAGGAGGCCAGAGTTCACATCACCACTTATTCTCTGTAAACTTGGGCAAAGGACTTCTCACCTCTCTGAGTCTCAGTTGCCTGATCTGTAAAGGGAATTTGGTAACAATACCGACCTCACTGAGTTCTTAAGAGCCACAAAATAGGTGTTTAACAAATTACAGATGATATAATAACAAAGTTAATCATAAACAGGATCTCTTCTTCCTTATTCATTAGAGGCCGTTACCCACTGAAAGGAAAGAACTGGGGGTGGAAAAGGGCACTGGGGATCTGAGATCCTGACCAGGGTCTATCACAGATTTGCTATGTGACCTTGGTTAGGATCCTTCCCCTCTCTGGCCTTAGTTTCCCCCATGTGTCTGATTTGATGATCTCTAAGAGCAACCTCCAATAATCTGTGATTCTCAGTGTCATTCTAAGGAGAAATTTCGAGGTCGACGGAGTCTGATTTTGCTTTGTAGTACAGGCTTGTTTTGGAGTAATCGAAGTATGCAGTCACTAGGTTGCGTGGGGAAGGTTGTCAAGTCATGAATACATTTACTAAGGAAATGACTGCTTGCAAAATGAACCCTGCTCCAACAGCCCTCCCCTCTTCTCACAAGCATCTCTCTCGCCCCATCCATCAGTGAATTTACTAGTAGGGTTTGATAATGCCGTGCAAATCCAGTGCCAAATGTGTCGCAGAATGAAATTGCAATCTTGCAAAAGATGCAGGATTGCATGACCTCAGGGAAAGTGAGTTAGAGAAAGGCTGGACTCTCGCATGAAGCCATTAACAACTGAGGATCTGGCAGGGGGTCCCTTAGCCACTGGCCAGTATGGCCCAGACTCCTGAAAAGAGCCATTTGAATATCAAACAATTAAGAGAGGTCCTTGAGGAAAGTGATGAGGTTCTTGGAACATGGGCAAAAATCATCTTTATGATCTTCTGTGAAGGTGACACATGAAGTGAAGGATGTCAGAGCAAGTGTTTTGGAAAACTACTGACAAGTCATTCCTTGATTATTTTAATAATTAGCACAAAGTTTTATAACCACAACTCATGAACTATAAACTTATTTTCATAATTTTTGTTTCTTTTCAAGAAAATAAAAATCTCATTTGCCCTTCTTACTGCATAATTTTATAATCATCATTTGGAGGGGAGTCACTTCAAGTGGCCCTTTCCCAGCAGTTAAAAGAAAGGTCCTTGAATCTTTTTTATCAAGTCCTCAGAAGGTTCTAGAATTACAGACAGTCAGAGCTTGGAGGCCCTCAGAGTTGCTATCTACCCTCTTTAACAGAGTAGACAACAGTGGCCTAGAGAGGGGCAGAAACCGCCCTGGGGTCACAATGTGCTTGAGCAGCCAAGGCTGGAGTAAAGAGGTGCAGGCAGGGGCCCTCCACTGCCTGTGTGTGTTTTGTACTTGCAGGACATAACCTACCTTCGCATCCCAGTGGCCGACACCCCTGAGGTACACATGTAAGTCCCCTGGGATTCACTGATAGATGGACAGACAGCTGCATCTTGTGGTGGTGGGAAGGAGATGGGAGGTGGTCTGGGGAAGGACAGAGAGGACTCAGGCCAAAAAGCTGTCCTGGGACCCCAGCATAGGTGGTCTTCCAGGCTCATGTTTGACTCTTTCTCAGCCACTCCCTTGCCTATGCCCCTAACCAAGACCTTTAACCTCCCAGAGCTGAGTCTCTTCAGGTGTAAGAGGGAGAAGGTACCCTGTCTCACAGGATCAGCTGCACCAGCGGATTTGAAAAGATCAGGCTCATTCTATTCCTGACCTTGGAGTTATGACATCTGGGTTCCAGCCAGGCTTTGCCATTTACTTGCTGTATGATCCTGGGCAAATCACTTCCCCTCTGTGAGAGGGAAAATGGGGACATTATCAGCATCTAGGAGACTTTCCGAGATCAGATGGCGTGGGCTGAGGGTCTAGGACAGGGCTTGGAGTGTATTGGGGGCTCAGAATGAGGGATTTTTGTTCGTCTTAGCAGCAGTGCCTCCTTCATGGGAGGGACCCAGATAAGACACTTCTGCTCCTTGGGGATCTTGCTGCCAATCCCATTGCTGACCATCATTGCCCCCAGGTGCTCTGATTGCAGACCCCAGAGGAAGGGAGAATCCTGTGTTTCCTCCCACCCATTTCCTTGAAAGGTCAAGATAAACCCCCCGTGAAAATAGGATCCACAGGACGCACTGGGAGGTGCTCCTGCCTCTGTGATGGGATCTGCCATGACTGGCCTCTCTCACCACCTGAAACACCACCATTACTGTTTCTCACCCCTTCCCCTCATGTGATAGTATTGGCTCCTACTCACTGCACTTGCTAGCTGAACTGAGGACCCCCAGGCTCTTTGTCTCTTGCCATCCCATAAATGGGGAGGGTGACAACTCCTAGGAGACATGCCCCTCCCCAGTGCTCTCTACCCTATTGTTTTCTTCTCTAGCAAGAAGCACTTCAAAGAATGTATCAACTTCATCCACTGTTGCCGCCTAAATGGGGGGAACTGCCTAGTTCACTGGTGAGTTAAGAGGGGAGTGGGAGGAAGTAAGTGGCTGTCCTTCATCCCGAACACACACTCATCCTATAGGGAAGGAGGAACCTGCGACAGATCTTGCCCAGCAGTCACTATGCCTGACAATCCACCATTCATCTGATAGAGGCCGATAGGGGGCTCAAATCAGGGCTCTGTCCTTTACCAGCTGTGTGGCCGTGGCCAAATAGCTATTGCTCCCTGAAACTCCCTGAAACTCAGTTTCCTTATCTGTAAAATGGGGGAAAGAATGCTGACATGGACAGAGGTCACATAGGTAGCCAAACATCCTCCAATAGTTCTGGCTTCGGCCGTGGCCAAATAGCTATTGCTCCCTGAAACTCAGTTTCCTTACCTGTAAGATGGGGAAAAGAATGCTGACATGGACAGAGGTCACACAGGTAGCCAAACATCCTCCAATAGTTCTAGCTCCCTCTCCTCCCCTCCAGGCCTTTGAGGCAATAGTGCAGAGCAGTGGGGAATCCTGGGCTGGGAGACAGGACCCCCCAGTCTTTCCAGGCACCCCTGGCCTAGTTGATGTCATTCATTCCATAACTTCTTGCTGAGCACCTACCCCATTCCGGAGTCTTAGCTGTAGGAATAACTCCCGCCAGCCTGTCTCTCACTCTCTTACCCTCCTTCCCACACTCCAGCTGCACTGGCCAGCTCCCTGTTCTTCAAATCCACCAGACTCCCACCTCATGGTCTTCCTACAAACTAAGCTGCCTAGAACATTCTTTATTAATCCTTACGCCTCTTTCAGGACTCGGCTTGATATCACTTCCTTGGGAACACCTTTAATCCTCCTTATCCCCACCTACTAGGTTAATATCTCTTCCTATACCATCTCCTAGCCCCTGGACTCATCTTCAGAGTAATTATCACCATCTGTAATTGTTTCCCTGGTTAGTGTCTGTCTCCCCCAACCATACTTTAAGCCCCAGGATAGCAGAGACCATGTCCGTTTTACTCCCCACTATATCCTCAGTATCTGAAAAATAACAAATGATGGGGAAGTGTTTGTTTCACTCAGGACTTTAATGTAGGAGAATGCCTGGGGGATTCTCCAAGCAGAGGGAACAGAATGAGCAAAGGCCTGGATGTGGGAAGACAGGTCCTGGCAGGTTTCTTGTGGTTGGTGCTCAGAAGGCAAGGGTGGGGGAGAGCTGAAGTGAGGATGGGGTTCTGGGGGGCACAGAGGAGATTGGGTCTTACTTAAAGCTTGGGGGTGGGGGTGTCCCAGCTTTGCAGGCATCTCTCGTAGCACCACTATCGTGACGGCATATGTGATGACTGTGACTGGGCTAGGCTGGAGGGACGTGCTTGAAGCCATCAAGTCCACCCGGCCTATTGCCAACCCCAACCCGGGTTTTAGGCAGCAGCTTGAAGAGTTTGGCTGGGGCAGCTCTCGGAAGGTAAGGACTGGGGTAGGGGCTGAGGTAGGGTGGGACACTCTTCTTCTCATTTGAGTTGAGCAATGATTGGAAAGATTTTAGCCTGTGCTTCAGACCTGGCAGATTTTTCTCAGATCTCAAACCCATGGCCCTTTGCTAATATAGCCCCTCGGTGTATTTTGTTTGGATAGCCAGTTGTTTTCTTTCTCTTTTTAATTTAAAAAGGAAAATGCCTTTGGGCCAGACTATGGACCCTTCAGTTTGATCAGGTCCCAGAACTGCCTGCTCCACTTGTCCGGAACCTGAAGGCATTTGAACATTTGGCCCCTTTGGGGAGAAATGCCCATCTCCTACTTCACTTCTGGGTCCTTGATGAGGCCAAAGCAGTTCCTTCTCTTATGCACACTGGGTAGATGGCATATGGAGATGTCAGGAACTGAGGCCTCTCTGGGAACAAAAGATGAGAAACAGAGACAGAGCAGCAAGTTCAGGAAGGTTTCATCAGGTGGCGGGCTGGTACTCAGACACTTATCTGACACTTATCTGCAAGGCTGCTTTAGGAAAGAAGCAGGCAAAGAAGAGGCCCAGGGTGAGTGGAGTTGCTGTGCAGGAAGAAGGGTTAATGTGGTCCCCACTGTGCAAGCAGGGGAGTCACTTTAGCAGGTCTGAAAAATGGAGTGTCAAAAGGGAAGAGGGTTTAGGGAGCGGGAAGGGACTCATGGGAGGGCCTCAGTGAAGGGGATAGAAACTAAGGGAGTCTAAGAGGATGCTCAGGAAGGGGAGGGGCTTAGCGAGGTGTGGAAAGCTCTCAGAAGGGCGGAAGCTATGAAGATTGGGGACGGGACCCGGCCAGTGGCCTGATACCAAGCCCTACACTCCTACATCCCCACCCCAGCTTCGCCGGCAGCTGGAGGAGCGCTTCGGTGAAAGCCCATTCCGGGACGAGGAGGAGGTGCGGGCGCTGTTGCCCCTGTGCAAGCGCTGCCGGCAGGGTTCCGCGTCCTCCGCCGCCTCCCCCGCGTCGCAGTCCTCAGCCTCCGAGGGAGCCCTGCAGCGCCTGGTGCCGCGGACGCCCCGGGAAGTCCACGGGCCGCTGCCGCTGCTGGCGCGGGTTAAGCAGACTTTCTCTTGCCTCCCGCGGTGTCTGTCCCGCAAAGGCGGCAAGTGAGGATCCCGCCTCTCTCCCCCCCTGCTCCTCTCCACCCCCCTCCCCGACTGGCCTCCTGCGGGGGCTGTCTGGGCCTCCCACCGCCTCCAGGACCGGCCCAGAGCCTGTGAGAGCCTCCACGGCAGCCTGATCCCTGCTTCTGCCCTCTATGCCCACCCTGCTTATCTGTGTCTGCAGTAGTGTGACCCCTGTCTGTTCGTCTCTGTGTCTGGGCCGGCCTGCTGCAGCCACCTGGTGCCTTAGTCCTTCGGCTGGGGGTGAGGGCACCTGGGCCTCGCCTCTTAATGGCTTTGGGAGTGGGAGTGGGTGGGTGGTGGGTGAGGGTTGGATGAGCCTGGAGGATATTAAAGAGACACAGAAGCTGCCAGTCTGAGTGCCTCCCAGTCACTGAACAAAAGTGAGACAGCAGGACTCCGCCAAGGGACAGGAGCCTGCAGGAAACTGGGATAGAAGGGGCTCTGCCTCCCCTAGGGCCTGCCACCGCTGGTGTACTGCAGTCTTCAGGGCTGAATTCCGAGACTACTTCTCTGACTCCCCCGTTTCCCCTTACACACACACACACTC